TGGGGACACCTTTCTTACGCAAGCACGAGTTAGATGTGTCGGTGGCTAGCCGTAGTGTGATACAACCGAAGACGGGGAGGGTGATTTTTGAAAAAGAAAAGAGTGAGGAATTGAAACAGTTGAAATTTAAAGAAGAAAAAGAGAAGTTTTTGATGGATAAACGTCATGATTTAGTTGCTGCAGTGTTTGATAATTTAGATGTTATAGAAAATGCCTCCGACTTATCTGTTCGTGAAATGAAGATGCTAAAAGAATTTGAGATCCTTTTTCCCGATGATTTACCGGATGTGGATGCGTTTGACGATGCAGAATTCATTCCACCTGAATTACAAGATGAGAAATCTGCAATACGACATAACATTGTCTTGACGGACCCTAATGTGGTGATCAATGAGCGGGCTTATGGTTACCCTCACAAATATGAGGATGCATGGAGAAAGTTGGTTGATGCCCATGTAGCTGCGGGACGTCTTCGACGATCAGATAGCCCATATGCTTCACCGTCAATGGTAATTCCAAAGGCAGATCCTACTGTACCGCCGCGTTGGGTTTGTGATTACCGAAAGCTCAATAAATATACTGTCAAAGATAGATCTCCTCTGCCTAATGTCGATGAGGCTATCAGGAGAGTGGGAACTGGGAAGATTTATTCCATATTGGATCAAGTGAATGCCTTTTTTCAAACACTGATGCGTCCAGAGGACATTCCCTTAACGGCAGTAAAGACACCTTGGGGTTTATATGAATGGGTTGTCATGCCGATGGGCTTAACAAATGCTCCAGCAACTCATCAAAGAAGATGTGAAGAGGTGTTAGGGGAGTTGGTGAATAAGATTTGTGTGGTTTACATAGATGATATAGTAGTGTTTTCACAAACGGTAGAGGAGCATGAGGAGCATTTGAGGATGGTGTTAGAAAGACTTAAGGCAGCAAAACTTTACTGTTCAATTAAGAAAACAAAATTATTTAGACGCCGTATCAAATTTTTAGGTCACGAAATTAGTGCAGATGGAATATATGCTGATGATACTAAGGTTGAGAAAGTTGCAAATTGGAAGACACCAAAGACTGCTAAGCAACTTAAAGAGTTTTTAGGTACAGTGCAGTGGATGAAAAAATTTATAGATGGATTAGCGGAATATGCAGGGAAGTTGTCACCACTCACGAGTAGTAAGAAGGCGAGTGAGAAGTTTGTCTGGGGAGAGAAAGAACAAGATGCCTTCGATAACATCAAGAGAATCATTACTACTCTACCAACTTTGAAAAATCTCGATTACGATTCTGGGGAACCTCTATGGCTTTTTAGTGATGCTAGTGGTCATGCTCTAGGTGCGGCTCTTTTTCAAGGCTTGGACTGGGAGACATCTTCTCCAATTGCATACGAGAGTCGTCAGATGTCACCCGCAGAGAAAAATTACCCGGTGCATGAACAGGAGTTGCTTGCTGTTATCAACGCTCTTAACAAGTGGAGAATGCTGCTTTTGGGGATGAAAGTTAACATCATGACTGATCATCATTCATTAACCCATTTGTTGACGCAACGGGACCTGAGCAGGCGACAGGCTCGATGGCTTGAAACCTTGTCTCAATTCGATCTGGATTTCAAATATATCAAAGGTCTTGACAATAGTGTAGCCGACGCATTATCTCGCATTGAGGATGTGGCTGTGATGGAAGTCCAATCGAAGTTGTCACAATCTCTGATACAACGCATCAAAGATGGCTATTTGTCGGACCCGTTTTGTCAAAAGCTGAGTAAGGTCCTGCCGTTACGAGCTAACTGTGTTTGGAAGGAGGGGTTAATGTATGTGGATGATCGCTTAGTGATACCTGTTACGGAGGGGCTGCAGTCGGAATTGATTCAGGTGGCGCATGACACAGTAGGACACTTAGGGGTAGTGAAGACTGCTGATCGATTGAGGAGTGAGTTTTATTGGCAGAGATTAGGGCAAGATGTAGAGGAGTTTGTCCGTAACTGCGACAGTTGTCAAAGGAACAAGGCAAGGACAACACGTCTTCCTGGGCGACTGCAAAGCACCGACGTACCATCACGACCTATGGCGGCCATTTCTTTGGACTTTGTGGGTCCTTTCCCTAAGGTACAAGGATACGACATGCTGTTGACATGTACGTGTCGGCTGACGGGGTTCACGCGGTTAATTGCCACGTGTCAAAAAGACACGGCGGAAACCACAGCTCGTCGTCTTTTTGCTAGTTGGTTGACAATATTTGGGGCGCCAAAATCAATGATTGGCGATCGCGACAAGATCTGGACCTCGCGTTTCTGGAAGGAGCTACAACTTTTACTCGGAGTCAGTGTGCACCTCTCAACGGCTTATCATCCGCAAGCGGATGGGAGGGCAGAGAGGACCAACAAAACAGTCGGTCAGATGTTGAGGCACTACGTCGCAGGAAAGCATGGGAAGTGGCTTCAGATGTTACCCACGGTAGAATACGCTATTAACTCGGCAGTCAACGTCGCAACTGGAGTATCACCGATGGAGTTTGTCTTAGGATTTCCACCACGGCTTTTCCCAATTGCTGAGACAGACATTCAGGTAGGAGGGGGAGTGAAGAGCTGGTTGGAGAAGAGGCAGGAGTCGTGGGCTGTGTGGCGTGACAAGCTGTGGGCATCAAAGGTAAACCAGGCGGTGGGGTATAACTCTCGTCGGGGGCCGGATTTGACATTGGAAGTGGGTGATTGGGTACTGATTGACAGCAAGGACCGTCAAAAGTTGGTGAAGGGTCCTGTTGCCAAATTGAAGGCCAGGTACGATGGGCCTTACGAAATCATTGAAGTCCTAAATGAAGGCCGGAATGTGCGAGTACAACTAAGCGAGGGGGACAAGACTCATAATGTGTTCCACCAGTCAAAGCTGCGCAAGTACAATTCGGACGAAATGGATATGGCGGCATAGGAAGGAAAGCTAGTACAGAGGGGGTCAAAGTACGTTCTCTCCTTTCGTATGCACCGCCGGTGGTTCTACTATGTCGTTTTGTAAGCATTACCTTGGCCACGCTGTGAGCATCCCTTGTTCGACCGGGTTTTCTTGCAGGCTCTTCGACTCAACGACGTTTTAGAGGGGATTGTGATAGTTTATTTCTTTTTCTTTTTGTTTCTTTTTACTTTATTAGTTTTAATTTTAATTTTACAACTTTTATTATTCTTTTTCTTGACTTTTAATCAATTTCAATACCTTGGTTCAACTTTTCTTTGATTATGTGATAGTGCTTTTCTTTCTTTGTTTTTTCTTTTCTTTATTTTGAAGGGGGTTTTTGTTTTTAGGAGGGGAGGATGTAAGGTTACACCTCACAATCACAGGTGTGACATGTATTATCAGACTATAGTAGATTTAGTGTACACAGTTGTTTGATTTTCTTTCTATCTTTCTCATTCTCTCTTCTGGGTTTCTTTCGAGATAGTCTTTGTAGCGTCTGGAGTTTCTTTGATCTGATGTTTAGTTGAGCTAGGTATGGATCTTTCTATCTTTCTCATTCTCTCTTCTGGGTTTCTTTCGAGATAGTCTTTGTAGCGTCTGGAGTTTCTTTGATCTGATGTTTAGTTGAGCTAGGCCTAGCTTTCGCAATACCAATTCAGGATTCTAGATACTCTTGGCTCCGCCACTCGTGCCTCTTAGTGTAGCTCCTTTTTATAGGAGCTTCCAGTCTTTTCCTCCTTTACTTTTCCTTCTCTTACATTTTCCTTTGATGAGTGACTCAATTTGCTTACATGTTTTCGATTTAATCACAGATGGTCATTGACCCAATCACCTTTGTCCATATTGCCTAAAGCTCTGATCATTTCCAAGGCCTTTTCTGTCGTATGCCAGGTATGTGCTCTCTAAGCCTTTTGTACATTTCATCTTTCAGTTTACTGACATTCAATTTCTTTTCGATTTTGATTCTAGGACTCCTTGGTTTTGAAAAATCCTTAGGCTATGCTCGATTAGTTAATATCATTCTGAATGTCGAATTATTCTCCTGATCTGTTACCCTGAATTACTCCATAAATTGAAGAATTATCATATTTGTACTTGTTCTGTATCTTGCGCCCGATGTAATCTCACTTTAAATCATTATAATACTAAATCTCAGACTCATGTACCGTGCTAATAATCGAGTCCCGTCTTCAGAGTCATATAAGGCTCAGCAGAACCTCACGCGAGGTACGCAAAATTTGATACTCACAAAAAACTGAGAACCAGAACAGATCTTCAAACAAATGACGATCATAACGTAGACGCAGAGCGATGGTATCTTTGTAGCGCCACAAAATTCTTGATCCTTCAATACCGATCGTGGTGCAAATCACCAGTCTTTTGAAGAGCCCAGTGCGCAGCTGATGACGGACATCCCCAGTTAAAAACATCACGAATTCTCTTTCCATACGTTCTCTACATTGCATACGGTGTATTTGTGTCTAGTAATGATATGCGTTTATGTGATCCATTTTGATTGCTACATAGGCTGGAAAACCGATGACTGGGTCAATTATAGTGACCAGGCCTTGGTGTCTGAACACTTGGAGCATGGTGTAAAAGGTCTAAGATCTGGAGAGTACTTATAACATATAGGAATCTTAGCTTGCGCACGATTCGAACGAGAAGTCTCTCCTCAGGGAGACTACCTAGATATCACTGCTGCTTCTTGTGCTATATTATTTTTATATTCGACTTTGTGTCAAAAGGTTTAATCAACAAAAATCCGGGCAAAGACCAGTTTATTACTTTCAATATAAAAATAGTACAAAAACTTTAAAAAATCATCTACTTCCTACACATGGTACATAACTTTAATACTGATCAAAACTAAAACTACGTTGCGACTACAAAAAAATGAGAATGATGTGATAGTGAAGCCAATTCAACTTTGGCCGAGTGGAGCTGACTATAGCAAATATGAAAATGAGGGAAAACCGATCATAAGGGTAAGAACACCTTAAAGACTGGGATATGTTCAAGGGAGACAGAATTGAAATCTTACACTGAATGATAGAGGTGCTATTGGTCGGCACCTTTTCCTCGCTTGGGTGTCAACCTTTTCTTCCTGGGCGCCTTGGCCTTGCTGGGTGTTTTGTTCACGGCCCGAGCAGTCGGTGTTACCCTTGGCATTCTGATGTATGGCTTTTCAGCCATCGTGCTTCGCCTGTTGATGAGACGAGGTGAGCGGCGAGGAGAGGTTCGAGAAGATTTCGTTTCCGACATCTCTTGCAATATTTGCGCTTCGGTAAGGACCACGGTCGACGCAACCGTGGAGGTATCGTCACTTCCGTAGTCGGCTTCCGCGTAGCTGCAAGTGTTGGGGTTCATGGGTTCTAATTGGGCGAAGGGATGATAATGACAAATGTAAAGTACATAATTATCAGTTAGAAAGAGTGACGAAGGATATCGTAGCAGCAATCCGACTGACTGTTTATTCCCTGATCCCCTAGAGACTCTTGGAGTAATTGTAAAGCAGCCTGAGTGAGAGCTTGCGAAGATGACATTTTGTTTTCAAAAGTGGTATTTTGAGAAATGATTAGACAAAAGGTATTCGGAGAACAGTTATGGCAGATGTGAGATGATAGTGAGGAAGTAGCGAGGAATAAGGGGAGACAAACCTCTCATTTTATACCCCAAACCTGACGCGCGACTTTTTCCGCACCTCACTGGGCCAAACCTCACATTCCAACCGTCTTTTGCGCGACAATTATGATCACGCATCTTGAATTATCACTTTTGATACGAACCGGAATCCTGACCAATCAGAGTCCAGTGTTCAAGGAAGGTGTTCTCGACGGTTGCCGGGTGTCTCGCGTCCTGCATGAACGCTGAGGACTCAGGCATTTCCGGGCGAGCGGGAAAGATGGCGAGCAGTTCACTTCAAAATGATGAATTCACCTCACCAGTTTACAGGTTACGTACCCAGCTCGCAAGTAGGGTGAACCTGTTCATCGGATTCGAACAGGGCAAGCGATTTTGCCAGGTGCGCAACTTGGGCTATAGATTGAGATCCTTATGTGATGTCAGACTCACATAGAACGAATGAGTGATCAGAATTCTTGTCTTTTGGCATGTATAGCACGGAAAATATATTGTTGTTATGCCACTTTCATTATCTTTTGAAGGAAATTCAAGGTGATGCTGAGTGACATTCAAGTGCCATGGTATGTCATCCAGCGTATGGGAATCTTAGCTTGCGCACAATTCAGAGGAGAAGTTTCTTATCAGGGAGACTGCCTAGATATCACTGCTACTTTGTGTGCTATGATATTTTTAGATTCGACTTTGTGTCAACAGGTTTAATCAACAAAAAGCCGGGCAAAGACCAGTTTATTACTTTCAATATATAAATAGTACAAGAGCTTTAAAAAATTGTCTACTTCTTACACATGGTACATAACTTAAATACTGATTAAAACTAAAACTGGGTTGCGAGTACAAAAAAATGAGAATGATATGATAGTGAAGCCAATTCAACTTTGGCCGAGTGGAGCTGACTATAGCAAATATGAAAAATCATATGGGTAAGAACACCGTACAGACTAGGATATGTTCAAGGGTGACAGAATTGAGATCTTACACTGAATGATAGAGGTGCTATTGGTCGGCACCTTTTCCTCGTTTGGGTGTCACCCTTTTCTTCCTAGGCGCCTTGGCCTTGCTGGGTGTTTTGTTCACGGCCCGGGCAGTCGGTGTTACCCTTGGCTTTCTGATGTATGGCTTTTCAGCCATCGTGCTTCGCCTGTTGATGAGACGAGGTGAGCGGCGAGGAGAGGTTCGGGAAGACTTCGTTTCCGACATCTCTTGCAAAATTTGCGCTTCGGTAAGGACCACGGTCGACGCAACGGTGGAGGTATCGTCACTTCCGTAGTCGGCTTCCGCGTAGCTGCAAGTGTTGGGGTTCATGGGTTCTAATTGGGCGAAGGGATGATAATGACAAATGTAAAGTAATCAGTTGAAAAGAGTGACGAAGGATATTGTAGCAGTAATTGGGCTGACTGTTTACTCCCTGATCCCCTAATGACTCTTGGAGTGATTGCAAAGCAGCCTGAGTGAGAGCTTGCGAAGATGACATTTTGTTTTTAAAAGTGGTATTTTGAGAAATGATTAGACAAAAGGTATTCGGAGAAAAGTTATGGCAGATGTGAGATGATAGTGAGGAAGTAGCGAGGAATGAGGGGAGACAAACCTCTCATTTTATACGCAAAACCTGACGCGCGACTTTTTCCGCTTCTCACTGGGTCAAACCTCACATTCCAACCGTCTTTTGCGCGACAATTATAATTACGCATCTTGAATTATCATCTTTCGATACAAACCGGAATCCTGACCAATCAGAGTCCAGTGTTCAAGAAAGGTGTTCTCGGCGGTTGCGTGGTGTCTCGCGTCCTGCATGAACGCTGAGGACTCGGACATCTCCAGGCAAGCGGGAAAGATGGCGAGCAGTTCACTTCAAAATGATGAATTCACCTCGCCAGTTTACAGGTTACTTCCCCAGCTCTGCAGTAGGGTGAACCTGTCCATCGGATTCGTTTGTCAGGTGCGCAACTTGGGGCTATAGATTGAGATCCTTATGTGATGTCATGTGATCAGAATTCTTGTTTTTTTGGCATGTATAGCACGCAAAATATATTTTTGTTATGCCACTTTCGTTATCTTTTGAAGGACATTCAAGGAGGGGTTGAGTGACATTCGAGTGCCATGATGTATCATCCAGCTTTATGAGCCATCCATTGTAGCTTCACCTGAGTGGAAAGGCGGAATGGATATCACATGATGATACGATAAAAAATGAAAAAAACTCTCGTTCGAATATTCGGCTTGACAAGTCCATCAAGCTGTGTGCGGCTCGGCGCTGTGAATCTGAAGAGTGCGGATCTTCTTTATCTAAAAGTTCAACTTTTTGAACACACCCTCCAAGCCAAGCTTGCTCTTGAACACACAAGACCTTATACATACCACTTTAGTGGGTGTGAAGCTCCGCTCCTCAATAGACTGGCAAGGTGTCAAAGATATTTGGTGTCTTTTCCTACCTTTTTTTCTCTTTTTCCATTCTAGAGCGTTTCATGAGATTTACCAGGTTTTACCAAACTTATATAAGTCATCTTGCGTGGCAGCCCCGGGGTACAAGTACCACGTACCTTATAAACTTTCTTCTTTTTTCATTTCCCTTTAATTTAAGTAAATCAAATCATAAATCCAAAAACAAATCAAAAACAAAACAAGTAAAAAAACACATCATTAAAAAACAAATCAAACCAAAAAAACATATATAAATCCAAACCGAATTATGTATCACCTTTCATCAAATCTTCACTTCCCTACCTCAATTGATTACATTCATACACCGAAAAGAAAAAGTCCAAAACCAAAACCAAAGACGCATTCCAGAAAAAACCCCCCATCATCTTTCAAACCAATGTCCTTCAACCGTAGCTCTCTTAGGTCTCAGATGATGATGATATCCCAAAAGTAATCCAGATCTAACCAACCGACTACTATTTCCTCCTTCTCCTCCTCTTTCTGATTGGTACTTTTCTTCTTTTTCTTTTAATTTTAATTGATTGGATTCAATTAAAGACTACTTACCTCTGAACACAAATCCAAACCCAAGCCCAAATCAAAATCAAAATCCAACCCCAACCATCAACGAAATTCAAAAGAAAAATCGAGTCAAAAAAACCTTTCCAATTCTCAAATCACCAAAAAAAAAACGGAGAGAAAATTAATCTGGGATCCCCCACTCACCAGTCCATCTCGACTCATTAACCTATCTCTCTGTTGTCTAACCCAACTCTGAGGTCTCAAAACCCCTCCAAACCCATTCACATTCCCTCCACCCCCTTGACTCATGATTCCAAGATTTGAATTCCTTTGATTAGAAGATTCTTTTCGATTTAATGCAATCGTTTCTCTTAAAGTTTGTTGACTTAAATTATACCAAGCAGATCCCATCAATCTTAATTCTTTTTCATATCTACCATTGATTTCCATTAATTCAGTCTGAATAAAATCAAACATCAATCCAGTTTTTTTCATGATCAGTTGTTTTGTCGTAGACTAATGGGTTTCGATGGGATTTGACTTACTTTCAATCTTTCGATTTGTTCTTTTAGTGATCGGATTTCAGCTTTTGAAGTTTGGTCCATTTCTTCATAAGAATTAGTCTATTTCAAACCATCCAGATCAGTTTCACTTTGTCCAAAATGTAAATCTTGAGGGAAAAACTTGAAATGAAACCAACCAGTGAAGAGATATCAATCGGTTTGACTCCATTTCCATTCCCACCAGCTTGAGATTGAATCATTTGATGTTGTTCCACAATAAACATCCTAGCCTTCTCCAACTTACTCTTCACAATCTTCATCTCTTCTTCCTTCTCTCTACATATCCTTTCCAAAACGCCCAACCTAATCTGATCATCGTTCGAATCACCACCACCACCACCAGTAGTTTGATTAGAAAGTTCTCTTTCTCTTCTTAACATCATTTCTCTTTGATCAATCGTATCAGATTGTAAATGAATCTTTTCTAATAATAAACTTTGGATTTGATCAGTTTTCATCTTTAACGAATCTCTTAATAAATTGATTTCATTCTTTAATCTTTCGACTTCATTCATCAATCCAATCTTTTCTGTTGAGATTGATTCTCTTAAAGAACTTAGAATTTCAATTTGATCCTTTCCAACCAAGTGAACTATTGATTTCCTCGACGTGTATTTCAAAATCATTTGCATCAGTTTCAATACTTTTGTCGTCTCTTAAAAAAGTTGTTTCGTCAGTCAGTTTCACTCACGATCTGATTTAGCCGTTGTGAGCTCATTGGAGACTTGTTCATGTGCCACCGTTAGTTCAGTATGCTCCACCTTCAATCGTTCAAGTTCATCAACAGTTTCATTGAGTCTAAACCGCAGTGCGATACTAGCTTCTGGTCTTTTAAATCATCAAATCATCAATCAGTTTGTCCTTCTCCGTTCAAAAAAAGAAGCTCAGTCCAATCTGATGACTCACCCATCACCACTAATAGATTTCCCACTACGAATTTCTTCCAATTGATTAGAGATCACCAATTTCTCTCTATACACATTCAAATAATCATCTTCATATTTCCTTTTCATTCGATTAGAATCTTCTAGTAAGTTTTCCAAGACCACCACTCTAGATTTCACTTCTTCTTCATCTTGTAATCCGTCATTAGTCTTCTTCAATAATCTTAATTGTCTTTTAAGTTTTCTCAATTCTAATTTTAATGAAGTCATCGTTCTTCCTTCAATCGCATCATTCAATTCTCCACCTATACCTGCGATTATGCCTGTTTCTTCTTCTGCTGCTCTTACATCAAAACTATCATCTATCAATTCAGATGTATCTGCTTTACTTGATCTTCTTAATGGAATCTCTTCTTCTAATTCTTTCACTCTTGATTCAAATAATGCTAACTCTTCTCCTTCTCTTTCTCTTTCTTCTTCGACTTGTTGTAATCGACTCGTCACTGTTTCTAATTCATAACTCAATCGATCTTTTTCTCGCCTTTGGTTTCCTAATGATGATTCTAGAGTGGCTATTTGGGTTTTGTATTGTTCCATCAATGGTTTGAAAGCTGATACTTTTCGATATTCGTCTTCTAGTTTGGCATTGCGATCCAAGATTTCTGTATTCTGTTCTTCTAAGGTCTATTATGATATACCATCAATCAAATCAAAATAAAGTTCAATAAGCTCAAGAGTGAGAGAAATCGAAATGAGTGAAGAAAGATCCGAATCATAAGAACTTTGAGACAAACCTTCAACTGTCTTCTAGTATCAGCTGATTCATCCAACTTCTTCTTATACTTTTCAATCACATGTTCTAATTTCCTAGCTCGTTCAATCTCGTGTTTAACTTCATCCAATTGATCCCTTAAACCCCTATTCTGTTCATCCACATCATTCAACTCATCAATCCTTTTCCTTTGCTCATCAATCTTCTTATTCAAATTTTCATTCTCATTTTCAGATAAATCCAACTTGGTTCCTAAGCTGACTACTTCATCTTTCAAATGTTCTAACTCATTACGTAACAGATAATAATCAGGTCTTCTGGAATCAGATGCCACATCTCTTGTATCCTTATCCTCTTCTTCTTCTTCCTCAATATGATCATCATCATCATCATCATCATGATCATCATGACTTTTAGCTCGATTCCTTCGTTTTTTATTCTCATCTTCTTCTACTTTTTCTCGTAATGAATTTAATTCGACTCTAACCACCTTTAATTCTTCTTCTGCTAAAATCAATCGACGATCAGTTTCATCTTTCGATTTCCTAAGTAATTGATACTCTTTAATTAATTGTGTATGAGCAAGTTGTAATCCATCTTTTTCATTCCTTTCATCATTTTGTAATTCTTGTTCTACTGTTCTAAAAAACCCACGGATTCGAAAAGAAAAATGATAAGTTAGAAGTAAAAAAACGATTCAAAAGGGACAGAGGGAAACTGACGAATGAGATGGTTTGTCTAGTGATTGTAGTGATTCAGTTGTTGATTGAATTCCCAACATCAAAGCTGTTTGTGCCCAAGTTGGTAAAGATTGAATTTTAGGTACATGCAAATCAGGTTGAACAAGTGTTGAAAGACTATATAACAAAAAACAATCTATCAGTGATCTTCAAGAACATCGTTTTTTTTTCGAAAGATAGATAAGTTTCTTACGTTAGAATTAGCATTGAAAGTGAAACGCTTTCATCCAAATCACCATGTTTTGCAATCTTCTGTAAATCCGGAGCATTCAATCCTTCTTCCTTTGGTCTTTTTCTCAATTCTTCCCTTTAGAAAAAACCCCAACCCCCCCAAAAAGAAAATGTAACAAATTTTCAATCAATCCAAAAATGAACAACAAAAAGGTTTCTGTTCAAGTTATAAAGATTCAAAACGAAAGACTGACTCAAAATATCTTAGAATCAATTTATACATTTTTTTAAATGAAGTGAACCTTAAAACCCATGGTTCTGACATCGTTCCACTCATAGAAGAAGGTCTAGGAGCCCTAAAGAAATTCGAATCCCTATCAAACCCGACCCACCCACCCCGAAGATTCCCAAAAATAAGAAACCCATCAAAATCTTTGAATTAAAAGTTATTATGGCTTTTCGAGATGATTGACTAACAATGTTGCCAAGACTTGCCAAAGGATTTCACCATCTTGAATTTCTGAAAGGTTACTTAAATCTGATTTTGATAATCGTAATGAGTTTAACCATAGTGTTAATGCTGAAGCAGGTTTATGTGATGGATCGTTCATAGTTTGATTTGGATTGGAAGTGTTGGTATTTTGGTAATGTTGATGGTAGAGTGGGTGGTGGTAATGGTAGTGGTAGTCGTTGGTCCTCGTCTTGGTTTGAACTCTTGGTCTATCGTTTTACCAATCATTTGGACTTAACTTGGACTTAACTCTAAACCCCTATGATCAACTTTCAACAGGACCCTGAACAGACCCTCCTAATTAGTATCCGAAAATTAGTATCCGAAACCCGTGAAATTCGGATACCTTTCCGGGTAAGGCTGTGGACCGAGACATACCGGATTGGCCACCGTTTTGGCCCGGGCAGCCTCAAGAAAGCATCCAGATTTGCTTAAATTTTTGGCAAGCCTCAATAATTATCAATCTTCTTTTTGAATCAGAGATCAGTCTCTTGGAAAATCAATTGAAGTGATCACCAATCTCTGTTTTAAGGTGAAATGATTCAATGATAATATCACTGAGGATCAATTTCAGAGTCAGACCATATCACATATGATAATGGAAGATACATCTTTTTGACAAATAAAAGCTATCACACTGGATGTGAGGAATTTGAAAACAGTGTAGAATCAAGATGCAGAACAAACAAAAGATAAAAAACATAAACAAAGATGAAATCATCAAGGTCTATATTATTTTATTTATATTGACTCAGATTTGGCTCTCCGCAGTTCATTCTATTTTGTAAGATCAATAATGAATTTCAAGTCTTTTCATCATTTTTATGATCTTTTACATCTTGATGATCTTCCTGCTTGGCTTTAAACTGTTTCTCATCACAGATATATAAATATCCAAATTAGTAATTGAAAGAGTTGATAAGAATGCCATTAAAAATACCCTGAACTACTTCTTTGACCTAACCATTGACAATCACCCTTGCTTTGTAGACCTAATCAAGAATTTAATAGTAAGGCAAGAAGCTATAGTATTGGTATACAGTTGAATTCAAAAATATCAAAGAATTCATACCCCATTTGACCTAACCAATTTGCACATAAGATCTGATGGTCTGGTGAATGTCAGGAAATCAAAGGCGTCAAAGATGGAGTAGTAAGGAATTGTCTTTAGGATTGATTTATTGGAAGAATTGTGATTGGTCTGAATTTTTTTGACCTTATATCACGTGTAGAATTTAAAGGGTGAAATGTTTTTAGTTGAAAGAGATGAATTCTGAAGAAGTAGACTCAGAGGACATAGTTAGTCATTTTGCCAACCTAGAGGTAGGATTTCTGTGATTTTCAAATGTTATGCATTTCACTAGCAGATCTAAAATGGGACACAGCAAGAAGTAACAATATGAGTAAACTTATGATAGTTTTTTCACATTGACTCATGTGAGACATTTGCACTGAATTTTTATATATTGAACCATTCCAATAATTGAGGCTTAGCACAGCATGAGTATTTCAGACACAATTGCCCATGATGACTCTGTAAAAAAGGCAAGGTTGAACACGAGAAGGCCCAATAAACCCCATCAAAATCAACAAAAAAAGTATTTGTTCTCCAATATCAATCATAGTCTAGGAATACATCAAGTTCTCCAAGGTTTAAGGCAAGTTCACAAGTTTGAGAGTAGGCCAAAATTCCCCCTGTGCCTGTTGATCTCCATGTTCTGTTTACCACAATAAAACCCACAAAACCTTATCCTGAAGAGTTAATTGGGTAAGAACTTGTCTGTTTCTCTAGTGCCAGTGCAAACATGTCCACCTTTTCTCATGAAGCCCAATGAAAAGAAGTTTAGTCAAGCTTTTAGTCTTCATCCTAGTTTTTACAGAACAAGAAATCTAGAAGAAAAATCATTCACCATCTTAAAGGCAAAACAAAAAACCCAAGCCAGAACCAAAACCGAATGAATATCCATCAAGTTTATCAATCATTTTTCAAGATAGAAAAGAACCTTGAGCAAAAAAACCAATGATGAACATTGATTATCGAATAAGAATTCAAGGAATTCAACACCTTGAATGCACGTTATTCCAACCTTTACTCAGTAAACTACCTTCATGTACTCACTTTATTATTGGAAGGATACTTATTTATGACCCCAGTTACAACCCTTCACATATCATGAACTACAAGAACAATCATCAAGTACATTTCATATCCAACCAACCCAAAAAAAAGCTGTTTTTTTCAATCATACAATTTTCAAACAACACAAATCAAAAAACCCAGCTTCTTACCTCCAAATTCTTCATAAACCAAACCCCAAAACCCCAATGATTTCACAAAACTAAAAAAGAAACCCAAAAAAGATATGGTTCTTTGTTTTCAAGTTGATTTTTTTCCAAAATAATTTAAACTTTTAATCATCAAGTTTGAAAGTGTAGGAGAAAAGTATAAAGAGATTCCGATTCGTAAAGGTAAGAGTGCCTAAACCAATTCCAAACCAACCCCAAAAAGAAACTGCATCAACAAAGAGGTTTCTCACAAAACCCTCAAAATGAGTATCAAAAGAAAGAGAAAGAGCTAAACTTTAACGATTAAATAAGAAGTCAACCCATTCAAAACCACCATATTCCAATCCCCTTTCCCACTCCCTTTCCCATCCTCCTTCCCATCCTTCTTCTCATCAACATCCGATCCATACCTCCTAACCAATCTCTCGATCTTCTCCTTCCCCTGCTCAACCCAAACCCAAACCTTTTCCCTAACCAAACTCCTATCCGAACCCATAAGAAACCCATCCAACTTACTCATAACAGATTGAGTAAGAAAAGGATAAGTTTGTAAGACCATAAAGAATGAAACCAGTGGGATTATCGAGCTGAGTTCGTGTAGGATTAGGAATGATAGGGTTAGACTTGTGAGATGTTTTGGGGAGGTGGTGGGGTATCTTTCGGTTAGTTTGGTTTGCCATTTTTGTTTCCAATTGGATGGTTTGGAAAAAGTTGAATATGGTTTTGGGGTTGGAGATCGGGCTGGGGGTTTGGGTTTGGTTTTCAGGGGATTTAGGTGGTGGAAACGCCGAATGAGGTTGGTGATGTTCATCATTTTGGATTTCTTTGTTGGTTGGTATCAACTTGAAGTGTGGTGTGTCAAGATTGAAAAATACTAAAATGATGTAATTTGACTTAAACTTACTAAATTTCTAACGGTTATGTCTCTCCCTTCAACTTAAACCCACTTCTCATCTCAAATACCTCTCACTCTCTCACTCTCAAGAACCACCCAACCGAAACCGAAATCGAAAATCAAAATGATAAGATTCATCCTAGTTCAAAACCGTCAAGGAAAAGCCCGTTTATCAAAGTAAAGTAAACCAATCCATTCTCCAAAAAAAACCCACCAAACCCCCCAAACAAAACCAAAAAACTAATTCTTAAACCTTGATTTCTGTTTTTTTAGATGGTATGTACCAATGGAAGACGAAGAAAAAGTTAGAATCAGAGGAGAAGTACATAGATTAGTAGCCACACGTGACCAAAAGTACCAATCTAATTTTGTAGAAGTTGAGTAACAAAAACCCCCCAAAACCAAAACATCTTAAAGATTTCTATTTGTAAAACTTTCTTCTTTCTTTCTTTTGGTTGGGGGGGGATGTTTAGTTTAGAACAAGTAAGGTGATTATAGAAGATATGCTGGTTTGTTTTTTTGTGTTTGTGTGGATTCGAATGATAATGAATTAGCTTATTTAGAATCGATTCATTTATTTGTTGAAGTCTTAGGTTCGTTTATCTCTTTCTTTGTTTTTTTCTTCTTTTGGATTGAAAACCTAATTCTTTTGGATTTCTTTTCTTTTTGGTCTCAATAATAGATGCATACTTTGGTAATGTATGTGAATTAGATTTAGTTTTTCAGTTTCATAAAGTTTATTCGATTTTAGATGAAGTTTTCTTAGCTGGTGAAATTGAAGAAACTTCTAAATCGATTATTTTAGAAAGATTAGAGTATTTAGAAAAATTAGATTAATATTCCTTCTATTCTTTTTATGTATGATTCTTATTACTTTCTTTTTCTTTCTTTTTGTTTTGAGTTTGTATGATTTTTTTGTTTTTTGTTTGGGGATCAATCTAAATCATTGGTTTCTGATTTAGATTTATGGATTTATGGATTTGATAGGTTAACTGAATTTGTTAACAATTTCAAAACAAACAAAACATTTTTTATCAAAATTGACACCAAAAAAGCTATAGAATCCACAAAGAAAGTGCCAATAATCAAAACGGTAAACTAGGTCTAGATTTCTCCTTATTCAATCTCCATTCCTACCAAACAAATAAACCAAAACCCACCATCAATTCAAAAAACCCCACTTCAGAAATCAAAAGAAACACAAACCTTTCTATAATTGGAAACCCTAAGTTCCATACCTCCCATCCGTTTTCCAACCTCTTCAAATTTCTCTTCCCATCCTCTTTCTCGTTTCTTTCCCTTAAATACCTTTTTCCTACCCTCATAAACTCCAAAGTTAGGTACCAATGACACTTTTGAATACTTAGGTAACACCGATCTTGTCTTTTCAGTTTCAATTTCGGTTTTTGATGATGTTTTGATCGGTCTAAATGGATTAGATTCGTTAGGGACGATTCCCAAGTACCGTTTTTCTCCTTGACTTAGTCTATTTAATCCTCCAAAGAGTTCGATGAGCTTTGGAACCGGATCAGAAGTGATCGAATGAAACTCTTTAAAATCGATTTCTCCATTATAATAATTAACTTTTTCATTCATCATTCTTCTTTCAACAACTTGATCTTGTTTATCTTTTTGGTGATTCGGTTTGAGAATGTAATTTAATAACCTCCAATGAAATCCTTGTTTACATAACCATCTTCGTTCAGTCGATTTATAAATAGGCGATCTCCACCTAATCTTTCCAGAACCGATCACTGCATTCTCGTGCCCTGATTTATATTTTTCTGGTAAGAATGAGTTTCTAGACAACGTATTTTCGGATACTTGTTGTAAGATGTTCGATAATGAGATAATACTGTTAGGTCGAGTTGATGGCCCCGTTGGAGTTGTGGATGAGGTTGGGGTTTTTTTGGTTGAGTGTGATGATATGAATTGGTTCGATTGGCTTAGGATCGTTTTCGGTTTGGGTAGTCTGATGTAGGGTGCTATGGATGAGATCATTGTTGAGGTCTTGGTTTCTTTAATTTCTTGAGGTTTTCTTTGGTTTATGGTTTGTGGTTCGATCCGACTTTTTGGCCGACTCTGATGCCCTGTTGAAGTTGAGCCCTGTTTGTTTATTAGCATATTCCACTTGTAAAATCCTACGCAGTCACTGCGCATTTTGGTCTTACTATCCGGTATCGCTCTCCAACCCCTTTCCCAGATAGCCCCGCTCCAGAATCGGATCATCATTTATTGAAGGGAGCGGCCGAGAGTGATCAAACTTGATATCTCCACTGATCTTCTCTCATTCATCCTTCAAACGATTTTTATAAATTAAACAAAAACCTTCTTTATATGCAGACTTCTTCAAGCCCATGGCTCACAACACGTCTCAGCCTTGCATTTACTTCAGACACTTTTCTTCATCATCTTACATATTCTGATGATGTTACATGAAATGGTCTATTGTCTTTTTGACAGTTTTCACCAAAGGTGCTTCCATGCTTCCATATGGCCGATGATCACCATGTGTAAAAAATAGAAGCTAAAGAAATATTCTTTAGGCTCTAACATTTCTTCAAACGGGTTGGTTTAGCTTTAGCTTAACTTTGTACCTACATTGGAATTTGAGATTACTTGTGTTTGAAGTTTACCATGTACAAACTGGTTTACTTGAAAAAGAAGATCACAAGTATATATCAACAAACTTTCCCAATTTTTTTATTGGAAGAAGAGTTTTTCGATTTTCTGTTTTATCGACTTATAAGCTTTTCATATTCCTGAACTTCAGTATCATCAATCTCATTTATTTAAGATGTTTATAAGGTGTTTGGTGGTTTGCTTGGTTTTTATAAAGTTGGTTTGCATGAAGCCGTTCGAAGAAGGCGCGAGGTTGGGTAGTGAAATGACTCATGTTCATGGTTCAGACTCAGAACCTGTTCTTGGGATTCCAACTCAAGACGCGACACAATGGGTTCATCCAGTACCCATACCTCATCCAGCAGTCATACCTCATCCACAAACAGTCATACCTCATCCACAAGCACCCAACATACCTCATCCACACGTCATACCTCATTCCGAAGGCTTACCATTACCAGACGCTTATATATTCTTATTCCGAGACGAAAGGGATGCAATGAGATGGTCCGAAAGTCACGGAGGAGCAGGCGTAGGAGGCCTAGTGATTCCCGAACCTCAAAGCGTTCCACCTATCCAACCTGGTCCTCTACTATCTCATCCTCCAATCCCATTACACCCAACTACAGCTCAAGAATTCGTGGCTCCCTATCATCCTTTTCAACAAATCTCTCCTCAATATCATCCTACCTTTCAACACTTTACGCCGCATTATCAACCCGTCACGTCTGGGTATCCGAACGTGCCATTGCCACCTCCTTTTCATGAAACGTATGACGTGTTTCGGGACCAAGACTTTAGATCACCTCCACTTTTTCCTTCTCAATCGAATCTCCAACCTTTAAACCCAGGACAAACCATACCGGGTCCGTGCGTATGAATCTACACCAATGTTTAATTCCATTGACGATTTCAGACTGACTTGTGGTTTTTTAATGACTCAATTGTTTGACTATCTTTTTGTGTTTCTTTTGATGAATAGGTCTAGAAAATGGAAAAGTAAAAGGAAGAAAAAAGTACCAAGTTCGGGTTCTACAACTACGGTTGGAAAAACCTTACTAACTCGACCCACTAGATCATCTGATTCATCAGATCAACTTATTCAAAAGTAATTCCAAACCAACCTACTTGTTCTTCTTATGATTTCCAAAAACAAAAAAGGATAATGATGAAATTGATTTTTTTCTTTTAGGAATCTTGCGGGTTTAAGAATCGATTCGAAGGATAAACAGGTTGGGGGATCTGAAGTGCCTGATGGGAATGATGAAACATCTCAAGGGTTTAAAGAGAGTCAAGCTTCTAATTCTGAAGAAATCGAATCTTTTCATCCTAAAGAGTCAGTCTCTTTCTTCGTGATCTGATTCATTTTAATCCTCGAGGTTTTAAAGTTGAAGGTGTATTTTTTTATTTTAGGTATCTTGATCATGACTCGGTCTCTTCGAAAGTTTTGTCTGCAAGTGTTGATCCGAGTGATCAGGATAAAAAAATAGTCCCAGTCTCAGAGTCGATGTTGGTTAAATTTCCTTAAAATTATTCAAGATGATATATCTCGCTAATTAATCAAAAAACTGCTTACATTTCAGAGAAGAAAAACAACCAGAAACCGGTCCATCAAAACCTATCAAAGCCGAAAATCTGCAAAAGAAAGCTTCATTTGTTGATGCAGTTTTAAGTGCATCAACTCCCAGGCTCGATTCCTTTCAAACAGTGAAAGATGGAGTTCTTCCAAACCCTTCTGGTACCCAGAAATTGATTAAAGATAAATTGAAGGTAGGTCAGAAGAAGGGTTCAGAGGGAAGAACTTCGATGGTCAATAAAGGAAAGGGATCAAGGGTAGTTGATGCACAGAAATCGGTGGTTGATAGACTTGATACTGCTCAGAAGAAGGGTTCAGAGGGAAGAACTTCGATGGTGAATAAAGCAAAGGGATCAAGGATAGTTGATGCACAGAAATCGATGGTTGATAGACTTGATACTGCCCAGAAGAAGGTTCTACCAATGCCAAGTCCCGATACCAAAGAAAAGTAAGTCAGGACGTTGGGATTCTAGAAATCTTTGTTCGTGTGACTGATGTGTTCATTCTTGATACATTGGATTGGAAAATTGAATTCTTGTAGAATAAAAGATTCATCAATCTCATTAGGATCTGATCAAGGAGGATCACCTAAGATTGGTTCGATTGAAGACCAACCTTCGTCTTCAAAGCTAAAAGTAGATGAAGATGGATGGCAAGTATACATGAACAAAAAATCACAAAAAGGGATTCATCCTACTTTATTTTCCACTTCAAGTTTATCAGCAAGAAAATCAAGGTTTAGGGATCTAGACAAGTTTGCTTTAATGAAAGATCAAGTTCAAAACTCGATTGATCAAGCCAAACGTTTAGCACATGAAGAAAAAATTGAAAGTTTTAGAAATGAAGGAAAAGGTTTGACAGATTTGAACGAAGAGAATTTACCTGAAGAAACAGCATTGGTTGAAAAAGTCAAATCATCTAAATCTACCAGGAAGAAAGGAAAAGCAAAGGGGAAAGGAAAGAAGCAAGCGATCAACCAATCATCTGGATCTCGTAGTGGAAAGAAACCGACTGTAGGATCATCTAAAGCTTCTGCTGATGATCTTGCACTAGAAGAAGCCTTAGCAGCTTCCAAAAAATCGATTATCGATCGACTTAGTCCAGAACGTCAAGAACATATCAAAAAAGTCGTCTTAACGATGTTACAAAAAGATAATCCTAAAGCGTTTGCCAATATATTTATTGATATGCCAGAATATAATAAATTGTTTAAAGGTACAGATCAAGATACAGAAGAAGCTATGCAAGAATTAATCTTAGGACCGGTTTTTCAAGATATTATTGATTCGGTTGGGAATCTAGAAGGACATAGAAGACATAGAGCATTAAGAGATCAATTAGATGATAGAGTCATACAACAGAATTGGAATTTAGGTATCTATCATAATTCGATTGAAGAACCGATTATGAATGTAGCCGAAGCTTTATCAGTCAAAGAAGTCTTTCCGATCTTTTATAAATCAAAGTTGGGAGATTGGGAAACGGTTAGAGAAAAGTTGGATAGATTAGATGTAGATGAATTTCAAAGATTAGAAGACGTGATTGAATATCATCAAGTCGAGAAACGTTTGGCTATGATTTGGGCCATGCAAGAAGTTAATCAGAAAGGTGATTCGTTATTTAAAGAAGCAGGACTTAAAGCTTTGGCTATACAGGGTATTAATTTACCGATGCTGGTGTCACTTTGTGATCTGATGGGTTTATCACCTGCAAGAATGGTGACCGGTGAGATCAGTGAATCAGCACTCATTATAAAGTATTTAAGGATCTATAGATTAATGCATGGGAAGTTTACGGCTGGATTAGGTGATATTTATGAGATGGAAGATGATTTGAATTGGCTTGAATCACCGGTAAGATATTTCTTGACTGAGAATACAAAACTTAAAGATCCATTTGAGAAACGATTGAAGAGTTTGATAAGAGAAGGAGATGGGAAATCGATTGCATATATTGAATGGTGTAAATCGATTGGAATCGAATGGAACCCTAGTTTTGAACATCATCAAGTTAGTTTGGCTGAAGCTTTGAGTTCGGCTCATTTTGGAATCTCATTGGATGATTTGATTAAACTTCAAACTAAGATTCAACAACATGAAAATTTAAAGAGAGTGATGATTAATAATCAGTTGAATCATAAACATCAATCGATGGGTGGTGGTGGAACTTCATTATTGTATGAAAATCAAAATCATCAACTTTATTGGCCTAAAAACGCTGAAGACTTTTTACCTCAGTTTGAAAATTTTAGAAGATACTTTGAATGTTTTGGTCAAAAACTTATGATGAGTAAATCTCGTGGAAAATAAGTTTGATTTTTTGAAGTAAAGTCAATTATGATCAATATCTTCTTTGATCTTGTAATGAGATCTGTTTGAAAATTTCTTTATTTCACTTGAAGAGATTTTAGATTTGTTCATTTTGAATGTCTTTTACATAAATCGTATCTTGGTTTTTATTCAAAACTTAAAAAGATTATTTTCAAGTTTCTTTCTACCTAATCGAATCTCAATATGTTTTGTTATACTCAACATGATCTTTCTGAAATTGTTTGAAAAATTGATCTTGGAAATGATGATGTTTGAATTTAAAGATACAAAAGATTTCAAAAATCTTTACAAAATGTCGGATTTGAGAGTATATTTCTCAAGTAAAGAAGTATTTTATGGTTCAGAATAAAATCACATCTCCCACTGAGTTCTGAGTGCAGAGTGCATATGGTTTATAGTGCATACAGCCTGAGGTCAATTATATCAGGTCGACTATTTTGACACCACGTAAAGAAAAGTATGTAGGTGTGGGTATTCTTTGACCAATTCCATTGGACTGAAAGAAAGTGAAACATTGAAAGGACCTAACGAACCTCTTATATAGATGGAAATGAAATAAAGCAAAAATGGGTTTCCCGGGCGCGGCGAACGCGGTAAGAGGGGCTTGGTTAACTCTAAACCAAATTTATCATCTAACGAACAAATCTCCATCCAACACACAAACCAAATTAAGAACTTGAATGTTTTTTACTAAGGTGTGATCTTTGAACTCATCACTTGTCAAAATTTCCATCCCAACTTAAACTAATCAATCTTGGAAAAATATTCAGAGTAGTGATCTACAACAGAAGGATGGGATCAAAACTAAGTTAATAATAGTCTCAAGGAAATTCTTAAGAGTTCAAACGGGATTGAACTTCCAGAGAAACGAAGTTCTACTTGTGACTTTAAAGTGGAATGTTTCTTCTTTTCTTGATCGGTTTTGTTGTGAACTTGATGCATCTCTTTTCACTTTTGGATTTGTTGAGTGTTTATTTAGTGGGTTTTTGAACCTCTTTAATCTAACCACAAAATATATTCCAATTCTTTTGTCGCTATGAATATCATTTTATGTATTGTGTTGAGAAGTTATTATGAATTTTCTCAAGTCTATGATTCACTTTTCATTAATTCGAAAGTCATCACTGAAACTTACGAGATTTACAAATGACTATCTTCAAAATTCACTCGAATTTCCTTCACCTATCAATGACTTATTCAAACTGACTCTCAGCTCAAGGAACTGGGAGCGAGTTTCTATCTCAATAGTGAGAATGTAAATGAGAATTGGGAGAGGCAAAAAGCCACATTCATTGTTCTTTTTTAGTACCACAAACTAAAGAAAGAAAGTGCTCAAGAAGTAGGCCACAAGAGGTAGGAATACCAGAAAGATGAATCAAACTAAAGAGCGGAAAACAGACAACGACAACGATCTGAAGGAAATATTCACACTCTAGATCAAACCGAGGAGACCACCATCGAGAAGACCACCAACAGCGGTTCCAAGGTTTGCAACCAAGAGACCGACTCCTTGTAAGAGAGCACCAAGGCCGTGGAAGAGAGGGTCGAGGATGACGATGAGGACGTGGAGTAAGGTGCTGAGGAGACCAAGTGATCGGAAACAGCCATTGGGACCTCCAGGTACTGGAACTGGGAAACCTCCGGGTACTGGAACTGGTACACCTCCGGGTACTGGAACTGGTACACCTCCAGGTACTGGAACTGGCACACCTCCAGGTACTGGAATTGGCACACCACCTGGGAAACCACCTGGCACACCACCTGGGAAACCACCTGGAACACCTGGGAAACCACCTGGACCGAATCCACCTGGAACTCCGGGGAATACACCTGGAACTCCGTGGATCCAGCTATCGACTGGGAAACCGAGAGGTGACCAGAGCTGAGGGTTGAAGTTGCAGGCCGAGAAGAATTGTTGAACCTCGACATGAAAGGTGATTGCAACACCGACGATCGATTGGATCAAGACAGATAGGACGGCAAAGGAGGCTATATGTAGGAAAAATAGTCAGTAATTTGGAATCCGACCTTAGCTTATATGGTTCAAGGAGGAGAACAGGTACTGACATTGGAAGGACCCGATAATACCAACACATTGAGTGTTGATGATCGTGAGCATGCTTTGGATTTGAATGATCAGCGGGGAAAAAGTGGAGATGAACTAGAGACAAGATGCGTTAGCCAACCGCTGAACTCCCAAAATCGAAAGAGGAAAGACGTACGATTTGAGGGTTTCCTTGGAAAGAACATCCGCCTTGTAAAGTGGAGAACAGAGTTGAAAGACTGGTCACCATGATTTGGAACTGAAGTAAGATGGATTGAGGGTCTAGGCCACCGTTCCAGATGTTGACGGTGTTGGATGTGATGACAGCGTAGCTTTGAACGGTTGAAAAGAAGGTGTTCATCGGTGGTAAACCTCCGCCGCCGTGGAAGACGACCGGAGCATTCCAGCATGAAGTGGGCCCTGGAACAGGAAGACCTCCACCACAGCCACCAAAGCACTTCATCTTGAGATGGTCGCTACGAAAGTATAAGTGATAGTCAGTGACATCGCTCTACAGAGCTAGAAAAATTCAGACTCACTCGCCGCCGGCCTGTTCTTCACTACGAACGCTCAACCGAGCAACTGTCTCGGTTCGCGCCCTGAAGATAGACAAAGTCAGCATCGACTCATGAAACGGAATCCGAATGCAATCGCTTACAAATGACGCGGACTGGCAGCAGCGGAGGCTAAGAACGATTCAAACAGAACAAGACCTCAGTTTTGCTCGAAAGAGAGTGCAGACTATAACCGAGGAACTGACCAGCAAGCACAAAGCCAAGATAAGCGAAGGAGATATGCATCTTTGGTGATTTAGGATTAATGAGTGAAGGATGAAGGGATCGGAAAAATTACTACGATCAAAAGAAATGATATTAGGTCTATATCGTGAGGAGTTGTTGAGGAAAGAAAGGCAGGTATTTACTAGATGCGATTGGAAAACAAACGGATAGGCAAAAGACCAGTGATGAAGAGCGGATGAGGGATGAAGCAGGTTGCTTCTGATGGCCATTTTATACTCGATTTGCTTCGACTGGCAGACCTCATCATCACGCTTGACACAGAAGTTCTGATCATGAAGCGCTGTTGGATTTGATATAGAACCACCCAAAAAGAACATCAAGAATTCTGACAGCTGCTCGATTTTTGAATCTTTTCAAATGGATTTGAAAAAGAAAGGACACTTCAAAAACAAATTATCTCATTTGAGCTCAAGAGTACACTACGGTCCAAACTTTAAGGGCAAATATGTCTTCAAAACACCTCCAGTAATGACATTTGAGAAACATGGGACTTACTTAGCAGTGACAAATCTGTTTTGTAATCGTGATGTGGATTTTGTGTTTTTGTAGAAAATATGTAAGGCTGATGTATTTCTTATCATAATTTGAAAACATATATTCTTGAGGTATCTCAATACCTCACCAGAACATAAACTGCCCCAACGGATTGAAAAGCCTGCACCAAGACCTGAGGCTTGACTTTGAAAAACCAAGTGATGAAAACCTTTGCTGAATTCGCATCACTAACCTTTCAGCAAAGTCATAGCTTGCTTTTCACATCTGTTCACTCTTTGACTCCTTTTTCTTTCTATACGACTTCAGGTAAGACCTCTCTTTCTCTTCATCACCATTCTCCACATATTCAGACCTGTGTTAAGTCGATGAAGTCATGAAATATTGGATGCTGACATGTCCCCCATTTCGCATTTCCCATCTCGCTCAATCATTTCCATCGCTCTCGTTTGCAGCGTTTGGTTCGCTTTTGGTCAATAAACCTTGTCTCCTGCTTCAGCTCGACCTCATACATAGAAGTTCTAAGTATCACTTCAATTTTTGATTTTTTAGTCACCTAGAATCGGATCAATCGATCAATCGCGTCGCAATTGCTAGCAAATCAAGCTTCCATTCATTGATACCCTTTCAGTCTGCCTCCTTTATATACACCGATCCATAAAAAGCTGTGGTTCATTTCTTGTCTCGTTTGTGATCTCCACAAGTTGTATGTACACTCACTTCCCTTGCATGCAAAGATGTAATGCATCCTCATCACCATCTCACCTTGATGAGTTCTTGAGCCCAAACTCGTGACGAGCCCAGTTCCCCAACGTGCAGGCGGGTGCAGTAACCAATTTTTCAAAAAAATAACCCCATCGGATCGACTCCTTTTTGAACTGAGTGTATGTTCAGTCAAGGTTTTATAATATAAGAAAAACATTTCCACGACAATTCCCTGATGTACAACGTACATATTTGAAACTTAATCACGTATGTTTACGTTACATTTTTACTGGGGATGTTTTCAACATATGAGGACAACATGCTGGAAACAGGTGATGGAAAACATGTCACGATTACAAATCTTTTGATCCGTAGTGTATACATTTAGGGTACTCAAAGTAAGTATGCACACATACATACTTTTATGTGCATACTTTTATTTGACGGGGAAAAAGAAAAAAATATACTTTTGGCCTCGGTCTCCCCGCCAAAAAAAAGTATGCAGCGAAAAGTATGTACGTGTGCATACTTACTTTGAGTACCCTAATTGATCGGACCGAAATCCTGATGCCTGGAACATGTCAAATATACAAATTTGAAATCCCAAAACTCTTCAACTTTCACTCTTGGGATTTATGACCTCGATACAATTGATTATTGCTCAGAAGAGCTCCGAAGACCTGAAGGGCTGTGGAAGCGGGAACCGGTGGAAGCAGAGTCGGCTCTCAAAATGAGAGCACGAGCCACGCGCAGTGATTAATATTGGAATTCATATTTGAAGTTACCTTTCTCACGTATAACTGTGTCACACCTGTCGACTCCTGTTTGGCAAAACCCGGCGGGAAAGGGCGGGAAACCGAGAGGAAACCAGGTGTTATGTCGGCGTGGTTTATTCATCGCCTTCTTCTAATCCTATCCATAATCTTTAGGATGGCGATTGAAGGCTTCTAAACAACTCATCATGATACTAAAGTCTCATTGTAATTGATCTACCATTCCACAAAAAATGCTTTCAATTCTACTTAAACTTATGCTAAGATCATAATTTGACAATCCTTTAATATTCCGAATGTAATTGAAGCTGGGGTTTTTCATAATACAAACATATTTGGTCCCTGATAATGACCCACACGGTTGAGTTCTCCCCAATCAGAGACCACCAGTAGATAAAGGGGAGCTTTGAGGATCACTGTGATCTTGAAACTACCCAAATCAATGTCTCTGATGATGAAAGGGAGTCCATGTGTCAGTTTGTTTCCTTATCTCCATGCTTTTATAAAGTTGTGGTGTGAGGGACTGTTGACACTACAAGAAAGATAATATTTTCTGGGCAGAAAATTAAATTATTGATACACAAAAATATTGAGAGGCCAGGAGGAGAGCAAAAAATGAATAAAAATATGCATCTTGTTCCCTGCGTTGAGAACTTCACTCTGCATATTTTTCCGTATTTTTACAGTCCATATTGATAAGTGTACTAACAATAAACCTTCACAATCATCCAATTACAACCTGTAACAAGCACTGAAATTTGGCTCATTAGTGTTTAGAGAAACTTTTGATTTCTGAAAATACTCATAAATTTTTCAATTTGGGTCCAAAACGCTCGATTGTGGGTGCATTGGTAAGCTGGAATTGTCCTCCAAATAGTTCATAATAGGACCACACGGCATGCTGGTCTGCTAAAAAAGATATCATCTTTTTTATACATTTGTACATACAGATCCATAGAATGATTGTCATACTAGCTACATAGTTCTTGATCTTATGAAAGTTCGAGAGGAAGAGTTCAGCTTTCTAATGCACTTACAATCGAGTGTTTTGAGGCAGATTTGACAAGGTTATAGGTGTTTTCAGAAATCAAAAGTTTCTCTAAACACTAATGAGCCAAATTTCAGTGCTTGTTACAGGTTGTAATTGGATGATTATGAAGGTTTATTGTTAGTACACTTATCAATATGGACTGTAAAAATATGGAAAAATATGGAGAGTGAAGCTCTCACCACAGGGAACAAGATGCATATTTTTATTTATTTTTTGCCCTTCTCCTGGCCTCTCAATATTTTTGTGTATCAATAATTTAATTTTCTGCCCAGAAAATATTATATTTTGTGTAGTGTGAGAGACTGCTGTCTCCATCACCAGTGTTCCAGATGTTGTGAAAGGTAGTTGGAACTTAATTCATCAATCATTACAAGACTACAATGAGGACAAATGTTTTTGGTCCCTAGTCCAATGCTGTTTGACCTATGGTCATGGCAAACAATGAGGGCCCCAATACATTTTGTGCCACATCATTTGGACAATGGCATAAACCTGCACTTTTTTCCTCAGTGATGCTATTCAACAGGAGACGTCTTCCATAAAAATTAATGTTATCAGATTTCTGACTCCAAGGCAAATAATTTCTATAGATGTTTCATTGAACATGTGTCATTTGTGTCAACAGTGTACTTGTTTGGGGTTTCAAAAGCACTACTTGATCAAATTATTTTCCAAAGGCCCTGTTTGATCAAGCTAGCACTTTTCATTTGATTTCAAAAAAAAAACATTGAAATACCACATCAACAGAATATATGACATGTGTATTGCTTTGATAATCCTTGAATCATGTATGTACATATTTACCCAGTTATTCCTTTTTCCAATGCAAAAATGTGGCCTTTTGTCAAAATTCTGTCAATGAATCTGTGCCTTTTCCCCAGTGGATTCAAAAGCACTCAAAATTCCATCTCACTTTGACTTGGGTAGGTGGTGTTTGCTTTGGTTTGCAAAGCATGAACACTCACCTTCTCATTATTTGAGGTCAAGCAATACTTGTTCATCTACTTTGTATTTGATGACCCAATAAGTCTTTCTTCAACAACTCATTCAAATACCACACCTGCACTTTATTTTCTGTGGACCTGGTTGTGACACAACTTCCCCTTTCTTCTCTTTGTTCTGACTTTAAAACATGTTTTTCCATTGTTTTTAGCTTTCCAGATATTTCTGCTTGTTCAAAACAAAACCTCTTGATATTGGTGCTAATTTTTTGTATCATTGGATCCAGGAGGGCCCCATCTAGCCAGACATACTGCATCAAGAATTGGGATGTCTCTGACATCCTTGAGATGTACTATCATTTTCCTACTAGTACTACCCCATTTGTACTTAATTAGAATATTGTTGACCATATAATGTGACCTCTCTTGTTGTAGAGATGGATCTTCAAGGAGCTTCTCTGATACATTCAAATAACCAATTTCCTGTTGGGAATCATACTGTGGACCTTTTTATACAACTTCAAATGTCTTGAGGTATTCTAGTATTCAATTTGGTATGCAACTTTTGTAAGGTAACTTCATTTCAGCATCCAGGCCAAAGGTTGTTGGTCTGAGGTGGAATTTGAACATAGCTGTCAGGGTGAGGTTATTTTTGGGCTGGCATTTCACCTTCTTAGACTATGTATCCTCAAGGCACTTGATGATTGACCTCTACACAAATATAAATCACAATTCTTACAAGACACAATGGAAAAACCCATCATGACTACAGGTTTTAGATGATCCAGCCGGGTGAAGAGACATGATCACATGTTCACAGTGGGCCGCACCAGCCACAGGGGCCCTAGTACAATTTAAATTAGAACTTTTACCCCAATCATAACAAATATCCATCCCTATTTAAGTTATGCCTCCCCCACGACACAGGCATGCTATTTTCCTCACCCGGTATGCTAGAAAAGGAAAAGAGTAAGCCACAATCCCTTCACTATCACAGGAAACAAGAGACAATTTTCCCGTGGGAAGACCGATTACACA